ATATATATATATATATATATATATATATATATATATATATGTATATATATATATATATAGTAAAATGTATAGCTTGTTTTTTTCCTTAAAAATGCATGGGTTCATTGTTGTATAGCATAAAAGATAGAAAACATGTACATATGTCCTCTTTAAAGATCCAATTTAATCAAAAGGAAAATATTTCTGAGTCAACATAATTAAAATACAGATTTTTAAATAAGGCCTTTATCAACACTCATAATTAACACTGTAATAAAGGTCAGACTTTTCTAGTTTGATGGAGTGACTTGTCAAAACGTTATTTCTGATCTGTTTTGAGACTTTAATAAGGCAATGCACAACAGTGCTGTATAAACACAGATAACAATATGCTATGTATACTCACATTTTAAAATCTAAATCAAACTTAACAACAGTGAGAGAGTTTTACATTTTTCACTTTTAAGCAGAGGATAAAGGTCATATTTTCATATCGAGCCTGTGCTTTGTATAGAAAGCCAAGTCATACACAAAAAAACATCACATTTCAACAACTATTTTCAATTTTTGTTTGGTTGTTGCTAAAACTCCACAACTTTTTCTCCATTTAGGAGACCAAAATATAATTTGCACTTGCTGCATTCATATTGGAGGCAATAGACATTCCTGAATCAGAAAGCTTGATGAAGTTATGTCTTTGGATTTGCAACAAGAAGGTAAGGGTAAAAAAAACCTTTGTCTTAAACAATGTCTGACATAAAAACAGAGCATATTGTTTTTATTAGTAAGACATTGCAACTTGATTTTTAAGTTTCATAAGGAAGCCTAAAACTGTCAAGAAAGGCATTTCTCATCCACTGGAGAAATGACACACTTTAAAGCTAAAACTTTAGCTATTACTCTGAATTATTTACCTTTCTTCTAACTTTGAATATGATGCACTGTGACCATTTTGGTGAGGTTAAAAGGTAAAAGCTAGCATTTAGTGCATCAGACTTGAAGACAGCTAAGTGCAATTTAAGTTTAAGATCTTGACAGCCCTTATTAACGTTTTCCCAAGTCCTCAGGAGCCACACATTGCCAATGACTGCCATCGTTTAGGGACCTTCTGCCTTGAAAGCACACAGTTCTTTAAAGTGGGAAAATTAAATGTAGTCAGACAGTTCAATACTTCAGTTTAATATAAAACTCAGATGGGCATCAAATAAAAATGAGTCATAGTTCAGTTTATTCAAGAAAAAAAGCATGAAATCAAATCCTTTTCTCTTTTTTCAGTGGTTTGAGCTAAAAAGCCCTGAGAAATGAATTTCACTGCAACAGAAAAATGTTCACAGGAAAAGCCAAAAAAAAAAATATTTCATTGGAAAAAAATCTATATACTGTAGGTTAAACGAAAACAAAAAAAAATGGTTTTGCATGTTTCACAGAAATCAGCTGTAACAAATTAACCTTACCACTGTTTTAAGAATAAAAGACGCCCTCTCCTTTGGGTACATTATATACCAGTTTATGGAAAAGTGGACCAACCTACTAGATTCATTATATCAGTTTTTTTCTCTTCAATCTGAAGACTTGGACATGTTGAATGAAGATTTGATGTCAGATGTTTTAAAAGACCCACCCTCTCCACTTTTTACAAAACGCACATGCACAACCCTGAACCCGATCCTGAGAGGGAACGCCTATTAAACACATGCGAGAGCATACACAAGCCCATGTCTCCTCGTGCATGCTCTGTTTAAAAGTTGCTGTTCTCATAGCTCACAAAAGCTTAAGGTGTATGAATTTCTGTCCTAACCCCTAATAGCTTCCATCCCTATACAGAGCAGGAACTATATAATGGACTTTATAGTGAACTCAGTTAACTGACCGTTTGGACAGATGATCACTGCTTTTTACTCTCCGTTAGTCATTTAACTCCTCCTCCACCATGCAATAGAGAGTTCTCCACGCAAAGCATTCTGGGATATATCGATATAAAACGAGCCCGTAGGACGGCCTTACGTAAACATATCAGTGGAATTTTGATGATCCACCCGGAAAAAGAACATCCTCCACAATACCTTTAACCAGCAAGTCACAAAACAAACAATTTTAAAAGGAGAAATCTTTATTTTTACAAAGATGTCGCTTGAATGGCCAAAAAGTTTAGTCTCAGTTAGAATAGGAGTAAAGGTGGAGCTAAATGTCATTTTTTTTGTCCCATTCATACCAATTTAACTGAAGAATTCATCTAAATAGATAAACAGAAGCTTACAGTATGATCGAATAAACATAAATATCAGCTGACACTGCTTGTGTCTGACTCTGTAATCTCCAATGCAAGAAACAAGAAATTATTTCTATATCTAAGTTATTTTGCGTAAACTGGTGATCATTAATTAGCTCTCATAATACCTAATAGTAAATCGTTTTAGCTTAAAAGCCATTAGATGAGATAAGAAATGCATCTACTGTGCATCAATAAAAACAACATTTGTGTTTATATACGATATTGAAATGGCCTAATATTTTTTGTATACAAAAAAGTTATTACCGATTAACAATGTAATAATTTCAGGGCGTCCACATGAAGTAGGTTTTACCAAAAGATCTCTGCCATTCAGGGGACTCTAACTCCGCTCAGTGACGGAGGAAGAAAACTATAGTGTTGGGAGCTGGAGAAAATCCCATCTTTCTCCAGCAGAGTCCGCCGTGGATCCTCTGAGGGAGCCTCCTGCACAGCTGCAGCTCATCAAGATCATCAGAGGATCCACTACATAAGCTGTCTTCAGACCTTGCCTCAACGCCGCAGT